CCATCACACATCTGGCACCAAAAGCCCCTCGCCCCGCGGGAGCCGTGGCTATTCTAGTGGGGCCCCCATGCCGGAGAGGCGTCTCAGCTGGCGTCAATAGCACCTGCAGCCCCCTTAGCGCTGGAGTTTGTGGCACCAAGAGCCTGTGATGGGGTGAGTGGCCCAGCAGGCAAGGCAGCTAGCAGGAGGGTGGGACTTACAACCCCCAACCCCCACCCAGGGGTGCTTTCAGGCTGCCTGTCCTCAGCACAGCTAGGCCTGGCTAATCTCAAGCCATCCCGGGAATGGACAGAAAGGGCCCCCAGCCTCTGTCTGTCCTCTGGGCTGGCCCCGCAATTCGCCCTGCTAGCCGGCACTGGGGGTCCGGTGAGCGGTGGGACTCCACCCTGCCCCCCTCTGGCCAGCTAAGGGAGGACAACTTGGCCCAGGAGGAGCCGGACAAGAGTCAGCACTTCCAGAGCAACCCAGCACTCAGCTCCCTCTGGGTTCTCTGCCCAAAAGCGCTCCCAGGCCCGAGTGCTGAGCACCGGCTCCCCCTTCGTGGGCGCTGATTTGCTACCTCTGGGAAACCCTCAGGAGCCCCACCCGTCTCCTCAGCTAGGGCACCCTCCAGCCCTCCTCGCTGGGCAGGTTCATGCCAGCTACAATCCTATGGCAGCTTCTCCGAGCCGGCTCCTCTGCCTCCCTGGGTGGGGAGTGGTCAGCAAGCAGGCCGCCCCAAGCGAGTCGCTCGCGGAGGCAGCCGATATCCTGCCTGCCTTCCTTCCCAGGCCCCCTGCTTCCTCCCAAGGCTGCTGGGCCCTTAAAGAGGCAGACTATTCACTGGGACCATCTTCCTATCTCCCAGCACCTGCCTCGGCCCTTGCAGGAGCCCCAGGAACCTCGAAGGACACGCCATGGCTCCCTAACCCTTTAAAGGGGCCTGCTCCTAAGCTCCATCCGGCCCTATCCACACAGATGGTGGCTGCTCTGTGCATACAAAGCAGGGAGCCCCCCCCCCCCCCCCGCGCCCAGCAGCGCGCACACACG